ACCTTGAGAACAGAGAAGCATCCCGAGCTCTGAGGATTGGAAGGAATCCCCCGGGAGCATTGCAGCATTGCACCCACATCCCTGGGAGGAGTCCCTCTGGACCGTGCCCTGACCTACAAGAAGCACTGCCTGAACATCAAGCACAAAGTGGGCGCTAGAAACAATATCATACGAAAGCTGACTGGCACAACCTGGGGGTCACAACTAGACACAGTGAAGACATCTGCCCTTCCGCTATGCTACTCTGCTGCTGAACACGCATGCCCAGTGTGGAACACATCTCACCACGCTCAAACAGTGGATGTAGCTCCCAACATTAGTACTATTATTATCATTATATATTACATAATATACATTATATATTAATATAATATAATATATATTAAGGTAAACGTTGTCCCGACATTAATCCAATATAATAATAATAATAATAATAACAATAGAATCCTAGAGTTGGAAGAGACCAAAGAGGCCATCTAGTCCACTGCGCCATATTGTATCATATTGTATAATATTATACTATAATATGCCAATATTATATTTATATGATATGATATATAATTATAATTATATTATAAATATTTATTATTATCCAATATAATAATAATAATAATAATAATAATAATAATAATAATAATAGAATCCTAGAGTAGGAAATCCAAGGGGCCATCTAGTCCACTGCGCCATATTGTATTGTATTGTATTATACTATAATATAATACAATATTGTAATATGATATGATATATAATTATAATTATATTATAAATATTTATTATAATCCAATATTTTTATAATAACAATAGAATCCTAGAGTTGGAAGAGACCAAAGAGGCCATCTAGTCCACTGCGCCATATTGTATCGTATTGTATTATATTATACTATAATATAATATGATATTATATTTATATGATATGATATATAATTATAATTATATTATATATATTATTATCCAATATAATAATAATAATAATAATATTAATAGCCACGTCTCTCTACGACTCATGTGCCCAGCAACCCCTTGGGAGCCATCCCTGCGCCTCTGCATCCTTGGCTTTGCTGCAAAGAGACACTGACGAAGCTGCAGGGAATGCAGGCAATGCAGGCAATGCAGGGGATGCGCTTGGGAGGCCCTGCGTTTCCCGGGCAGGAGAGTCTTGCCAGGGAGACAGAGGAGGAGGAGGAGGAGGAGGAGGAGATCAGGAGGCGATTCCTTGCGACCAAAGTGGGTCAGGCCTCCTCCTCCTCCTCCTCCTCCTCCTCCTCCTCCTCCTGGGATGGCATTTTGCAGAAATGGAAATGAGATGCAAATCTCTGGCTGCAAAGGCTCCTCGGGTGGGCTCCATGACGGATGCGGAGGGAGAAATAAGCCCCACACGATACGATCCGCTTGGAATCGCAGAGCCCTCCTCACACAGATTGCGTGACAGAGTGTTCAACATACATCATAGAACTAATTAATCATATATAATAATATCTATCTGTATAAATAAAAATGTCATGCTCGTTTGTGGAATGAACAGAACTCAGAAACCACTGGGCTAATTGACACCAAATGTGGACACTATACCCCTAACAACCCACTAAAAAAATGATTTTGTCATTTGGGAGTTGTAGTTTCTGGGATTTATAGTCCCCCTACAATCAAAGGGCATTCTGAACCCCACCAATGGTGGAATTGAACCAAACATGGCACACAGGACTCCCTTGACCAACACGGGCATTGACCCTGAGTTTGGGAGTTGTAGTTCACCTACATCCAGAGATCACAGTGGACTCAAACAAGGATGGATCTGGACCAAACTCAACACGAATACTCAATATGTCCACATGTGAACACTGGTGAAGTTTGGGGAAATTAGAATCTTGACATTTGGGAGTTGTACTTGCTGAGATTTATAGTTCACCTACAATCACAGAGCATTCTGAACCCCACCAACAATGGAATTGAACCAAACTTGGCACACAGTTCTCCCATGGCCAACACGGGCACTGATGGGCATTGACCCTGAGTTTGGGAGTTGTAGTTCACCTACATCCAGAGAGCACTGTGGACTCAAACAAGGATGGATCTGGACCAAATTTGGCACAAATATTCCATATGCCTAAATATGAACACAGATGGAGTTTGGAGGAAATAGACCTTTAAACGTGGGAGTTGTAGTTACTGGGATTTATAATTCACCTACAATCACAGAGCGTTCTGAACCCCACGAGTGAGAGAATTGGGCGAAACTTCCCACCCAGAACCCCCGTGACTAATGGAAAATACTTAAGGCCATGATCCAGTCCAACTCCCTTCACCAGGGCAAGAAAATGTAATCAAAGCCCTCCCGACAAAGAGCCATCCAGCCATAGAGATAGAGAAGATATGATTCGCACACAGAGAGAGATATAGTTATCCTAGATGTGAAAGGGACCCTTCAAGAAGGACAATGATGTGTGTTGCATGTTCCAGGGTGGGCAAACCAGACACTCTCCACATCCACACTGGGAAAGACACAGCAAGAAAGACTGTTTACCCACGAGGATAGAGAAATCACATATATTAGAAACCAACCCTTTCTCCTGGCATCCAGTCCAACCCCATTCTGGCAAGAAGTTGGAAAATCAAGGCCATAGGAAAGGGTTAAGGGGGAGAGATGCCCATTCCACACCCATGGAGAGAGAAAGGAACCCTGGGACATCATTTCTGGAGGAAACACAGAACATCAAGGAGGAAACTGTCCCAGAACGAATGCATTCCTTGGGTGGCGGGCAGTGTGGCGTTTGGGGGGGGGGGGGGGACATGGCCAAGGGTGGCGGGGAGACGCCCACTGTCATCTGAAGGGGGGGGCTTTGGGTGACCCTCCAGCACGGTGGGTTAAAGCCATTGGTCTGTCCGTGGCAGACCCCTCCGACACATACATGTGTATATAGATAGTGTGTTGTCCTATTGATAATGCTTGTGTTATTGTTTTGTTGTTTTTAAATGGCTTGTATTGTTGTTGTTATTGCTTATATTGTTGCATTTTGGGCTCGGCCTCATGTAAGACACACTGAGTCCCTTCGAGAGATGGTAGCGGGGTATAAATAAAGTGTTATTATTATTATTATTATTATTATATAGATATTCTGTGCATAAAGTGAAGGTTTTCCCCTGACATTAAGCCCAGTGGACTCTGGGGGTTGGACTAGATGGCCTTTGGGGTACCTTCCCACATTAGCACTATTATTATTATTATTATCATTATATATAATACTAGCCACCCCCTGCCACGCGTGGCTGTGGCCCACATGGAGGTTCTGTGTGGGAGGTTTGGCCCAATTCAATCGTTGGTGGGGTTCAGAATGCTCTGTGATTGTAGGTGAACTATAAATCCCAGCAACTACAATTCCCAAATGTCAAGATTCTATTTCCCTTAAACTCCATCTGTGTTCATATTTGGGGATATGGAATATTCGTGCCAAGTTTGGTGCAGATCCATCATTGTTTGAGTCCACAGTGCTCTCTGGATGTAGGTGAACTACAACTCTCAAACTCAAGGTCAATGCCCTCCAAACGCTTCTAGTGTTTTCTGTTGGTCATGGGAGAACTGTGTGCCACGTTTGGTTCAATTCCATCATTGGTGGAGTTCAGAATGGTCTTTGATTGTAGGTGAACTATAACTCCCAGCAACTACAACTCCCAAATGACAAAATCATCATTTTTTGAGTGACGATCACTCCTTGTGTTGTGACACGTTTTGTTGCCAAATTTGGTGTGATTTCGTTCATTGGTTCTTTTGTTTTTAAGACACTCATGACGCACAGAACATTTTTATATATTATTATTATTATTATTATTACCATAACTGTATTTGTACCCCGCTAGCACCTCCCAAGGGATTTGATGCGGTTCACAGCAGGCCGAATACATAGATGATTACATTACATTACATTAATTACACCTTATATATCAAGGTAAAGGTTGTCCCTGACGTTAAGTCTAGTTGAGTCCGACTCTGGGACTCGGGTGCTCGTCTCCATTTCTAAGCCCAAAGAGCTGGCGTTATCCTCAGACACCTCCAAGGTCATGTGGTTAGCATGACTGCATGGAGCACCGTTACCTTCTCGCCGGAGCAGTACCTATTGATCTACTCCCATTTGCATGTTTATGAACTGCTAGGTTGGCAGGAGCTGGGGCTGACAGCAGGAGCTCACCCTGCTCCCTGGATTCGAATCTGAGACCTTTTGGTCCACAAGTTTGGCAGCTCAGCAGTTGAACCCAGTGCGCCACTGGAGGCTCCCTGGTGTATCGATGACAATTATAGAGCGATAACAACAACAACAACAACAATATAGATATAATGTGGATAAGGTAGAGAGAGAGCCCTTCCACGGCAGTGTTGCAACGGCGGAGAAGAGGAAGGAGGGAAGAGGGAAGGGGCAGATAGTGGAAGGAGATCAAAGAGAGAGAAGGAAAGGAGGGAGGGAGGGGGCCACGGCTGGGAAAGTCCGGCCCTGTTTGCGCCCAGTTACAGATTAAGCCCAGAGGGTCAAGGGGA